TGTTGAGTGTTGTAAGAAGAAGGGGGGATGCCACACAGTGGTAAAAATGGACTTGTCCCAACTTTTTTGGGATTTGTTGACACCATGAAATTTGGAAACAACAGATTTTTCCCTTCAAATGATACATTCTCTCAGTTTAAACTTTTGATCTGTGATTTGTGTTCTATTCTGAATAAAATATTAGATCTTGGCACCTCCACATCATTGCATTCAGTTTTTATTCACAATTTGTTTAGTGTCCCAACTTTTTTGGAATCCGGTTTGTAGATGATTAGTGTGTCACACTCAGTTTAAACATTCATGCTCAGCAAAATTTGGGCTTTTTCTATTCTCTTTTTTTAATCCTGTTTTTGTGAGTTTCATGAGTTGTAAGCCCAAATTATCTAAAAATAAACAAATAAATACTTGAAATAGTCTAAATTGTGGGCCCTGAATCTATCATCTATTAAATATTAACTTTTTGAATGGAATTATGGAAGATAAACAACTTTTCCATGATATTTAAATTTTTTGGAAAGGGACTGTATGTATAGATGGTAAATAGACTGTACTTATATTGCGTCTTTCTAGCTTATCAAGACATTCAAAGCGCTTTACAACAATCTGTGCCTCATTTACCCATTCATACAGCACTCTACTAGATCTATACAAAGCTAATTGAACAAATCATTCTAAAAAAAAGAGAATAGTATTTAGGGATGCACTGATCCACTTTTTTTCGATCCGATACCGATACTTAAGGCTGAATATCGGCCGATACCGATCCAGTTGCGATATCAGGATCATCATTGATTTTATGAGGCTGTAATAATCTCCTCTCAAGTACAATTTGTACAAATATATATGCATAGTGGGGGCCGAGATGGTGTAGAGGCAGGGCAGCCGGCTTGGGACCCGAAAGTCCCAGGTTCGATCCCCAGTCACTGCATATCACGTGGTGTCTCTGGGCAGCACACCTCATCCCCAAAATGCCCCCCACGGGGCCCTCAATAGCTGCCCACCGCAGAGACCATTTTCACCATTGTATGGAAACTTACAGTGCTGACATTGTGATGACATTATTATTATTATACATGTCCAAAAAGGCCACTTGAGGTAAGTTTTATTAATGTTGGATAAGTTTTAAAGTTAGAATTAAATTGTAACACAAAACATGATTTTTTAATTCCTAGCTTTAAAGTGGATATTAAAGTGATTAATTTAAGTGATTGTTTAAAGTTATTTAATATTTCTTTAAATAAGGGGCAGATATAAGAATTTTTTTTCTTCTTTCTGTACTCTTTTCATTAAATGTTTTCTTTTTGATGTTTTTTTTTTGTTTCTTTTAAATGAATGAGTAAATGAATTAAATAAAATGTTAAATGGCTTAAAAACATCTGCTACGTTCACGACATAAACCAACAGGCATGTTCCTGTTTTTAGTATTTTACATCACTTTATAATGTAGCTGTTTTTGTTTTTAATATATATAATTTTCAAATAATATTTTTATGTATCCTGATGCATGCTCAATATATAGTATAGAATAGTAGTGTGTGTGTGTGAGAAAGAATAAGAGTGTGCGTGAGAGAGAGTAATAGTGTTTGAGAGAGAAAAGTGAATAGTAGTGTGTGTGAGAGAGAATAGCAGTGTGTGTGAGAAAAAAAGATTATGTCCTACACGGCACCTCATATTTTAGATCACATTCATACACTGATGGGACACACATTGGAGGCAATGAGAGGATCAGTGTCTTGCCCAGGGACACTTCAGCATGTGACTGCTGGTGGATTCGAACCCCCAACTCTTGCATTGGAGGACGAATG